CAACAGAAAAAAAACAAAAACAAAAACAAAACCCAATAAATTATTTTTGTTTTCTTCTCCAGCTTATGGGCTAAGAGAATGCTTCTCACCTTACTGAACTGTCCAACCACATGCTTCAGAATATTGGGAGGCGCATCATACAGAAATGGTTCAAGAGCTGGCAGATAGGTACATTTTTGTAGGATATTCTTTATAGCTTTTTTACTCTATTAAAGAAATATAAAGTAAAATGCATACAAAAGTAAGTAATCGATGAAAGCGTAATACAAATTCATGCATACTTTCTTCTATTTCATGACCAAATAGTATCCCATTTTAATTCACACTGCTAGGATTTGAAAATGAAATCAACTTCCTGGTGTAACGTGTGGTTGCTTTTTTTTTTTTTTTTTTAGATATTTGTCAGAAAGACTCCTCTCTTTAAGTGTTTTTTTTTTTATCATGGTATATTCTGCCAGTTGTCTTCTTGCTAAACCTTAAAATGTACAGTATACCACTGAGCTATTAAAATACCTAGAGGAAATAATTAAAATTATAAAGCATAAATGATAGACTACATGTATGTATGTTGTCAATATTTATATAGATGAAACTGTGAGCTAAGTAATACTTCTTATTGCTTTCAAACAAGAATATAAGAAAATAATCAATTTATCATATTGCTAGTACTAGACACTCTATGATCCCCCAAAGGTTTCATAGTTCATAGGTATGAAATCAGAAATATTCTACAGTGCACATATCCAGTGAATACCTGCAGATATGCTGTGTTAGCTCATGGGTACAGATATCTCCATTCATATATACATGACAGATAAGCTCTATTCCAGCTGTAGAGAAAGGCTCCCCTTAGCATTAGGGAGTGTATCTACCACAAGTAAAAGAATAGGTACCCATACCTGACCTACCTTCCTTGGACTTCATAGTATTTCAGAGTGACACTGTGGGGTGCTACCCCTGTCCCAAGTGTGGTTGAAGAAGGACCCTGATGTGACTAAGGCATCGTTTCTGCAGTAAGCTCTAAGGTCATGGCTGTGATTCTGTTTTTCATTAAAAACTGTCCACTCGGCTTTGGAAAGCAACACCACAGTTAGGTTTGTCTACTGCTGTTTTCCACTACAATTCCACATGGGCTTGATCACACCCTTTCTTCTTTATTCCCTCTCTGAAGTCATAGCAGACATAGTCTTCTAGGATCATAATTGTGCTATCGAACATTTAGCAATACTCTTGAAATGTTAAAGAAGATTTTGATTTTCACATCATGAATTTTATAACAGGTACATGGACACATCAAAGACTTTGAACACATTTGTGCTTTCAGCAATGGAACTTTTACATTGAAGGGTTCTCAGAGACCCAGGTTAGGCAGTCTTATATAACCTTTCCATCTCCCAATACAAATGCCCTCAAATATTGTTTTATGAACTAAAATAAACTAAGGAATGTATGGCATGCAACCCAACGTCTTTCCATAAATAGTATAACATAACTTGAAATTACATTCTTGTTCCCATCACACCTAGTTATACCTTGTAAACCACCTTAAGAGTGTAGTGGTCCTAGCAGGTCCACAAATTATGTAACTTACCTGCTGTGGTGACAAAATCTGCAGCAGAGGTCATGCCCTCTGCACCATATATAGAGCTCTACTTTAACAGTGCATCACCAACGTACTGGTTGCAAGTTGGTGATGCACTGCAAAGTTATTAATCAAGATCTCTACAAAGGAGTCTAATGACATCAGAAAATTCCTTGGGTTTTACTATCTTTCATCTGGAAGAAATATACTTGATTTAGGATTGTATCCTTCAAGAACGTTGTTCTGTGCCATCGAGTCGATTCTGACTAATAGCGACCCTGTATAGGGTTTCCAAGGAGCAGCTGGTGAGCTTGAACTACCACCCTTGCAGTTCAAATGACTGCAGTCTGGTGCATTAGCCCACAGCGCCACACTAAGGCTTCCAAGATAAGAATAGACGTCATTAATAAAAACAGATGTCACTATTAATAATCAGATAAATTATCATAAATTGCAACAGTATATCAATAAGGAACTGCCAGAAATTCAAACCAAATTCAAAGGAGGACGTAGAACTAGGGTATCACTGCTGATGTAAGATAGATCTTGGCTGAAAGCAAAGGATACCAGAAAGATATTTACTTGTGCTTTATTGACTATGCAAAGACTTTCAACTGTGTGGATTATAACAAGTTACAGATAACATTTTGAAGAATGGGTATTCCAGAACACTTAATTGTGTTCATCACGAGGAATTTGTACATAGACCAAGAAGCAGTTGTTTGAACAGAACTAGGAAATACTGAATGTTTTTAAATCAGGAAAAGTGTGCACCAGCATTATATCCTTTCCCCATACTTATTCAATCTGTATGCTGAACACATAATCCAAGAAGCTGGATTATATGAAGAAGAACATGGCATCAGGATTTGAGGAAAACTCATGAACAATCTAAGATATGCAGATGATACCACCTTGCTTGCTGGAAGTGAAGAGGACTTAAAATACTTACTGATGAAGATCAAAGAGCACAGCCTTCAGTATGGATTACATCTCAGTGTCACGAAAACAAAAATCCTCAACTGGACCAATAAATAACATCATAATAAATGGATAAAAATTTGAAGTTGTCAAAGACTTCAGTTTGCTTGGATCCACATTCAACACTCAAAAGCAACAAACAAGAAATCAAACGACATACTGCATGCATTAGGCAAATCTGCTACAAAAGACCTCTCTGATGACCAAAAATGTCAGTTTGTGGACTAAGGTGCACCTGTTCTAAACAACGGTATTTTCAATCACCTCATAGGCAGGTGAAAATTGTACAATGAGTAAGACAGACCACTGGAGAATTGATAAATTCAAGTTACGGTGTTGGAAAGAATATTAGAAGTACCATGGATAGCCAGTACAGCTAGACTGCTACTTGGAAACCAAGATGGTAAGATTTTGTCTCTCATACTTTGGACATGTTATCAAGAGGAACTGGTCCCTGGAGAAGGATATCATGCTTGATAAAGTGGAGGTTGAGAGAAAATTAAAGAAGAGCCCCAACAAGATGGGTAAGCAAAGTGGCAGCAGCAATGGGCTCAAGCATAGCAACACTTGTGAGGATGGTGCAGGACTGGGCAGTTTCATCGTTCTGTTGTGCAGAGTCACTATGAGTTAGGATCAGGTGGATGGCACCTAACAACAACAAATTATCCAAGGTGAAAAAAATCTGTACATGAAAGATGCTGTTTGCGTGTATATTTCTGAGCTTAAGTATGTTAAGACAATTTTATTGAGATACCATAAAAATTTATTTTAAGTATGCAACTCAATGACTGTTAGTACATTTATAGAGCTGTGCAACCATCCCCACAATCTAATTATGAAACATTTACATTATTCCAAAAAGAAATCTCATTTCCATTATAGTTCTTTCCTACTCCCTCCCTGTTACTAGGCCCTAGCAACTACTAATCTACTTTCTGTCTCTGTAGTTTTGACTTTGCTCAACTATTCATATAGATGGAGTTATGAAATATGTGAACCTTTTTTGTCTGGCCATGATCACTAAGCATGATGTTTTTGGTGTTATCTGTGCTGTAATATAGAGTCCTGGTGTAGCACTGTAGGATAAGCACTGGACTGCTAACTGCAAGTTCGGCAGTTCAAATCCACCAGTCACTCCTTGGAAACCCTATACAGAGTCGCTATGAGTTGGAACTGAACTTGATGGGACTTAACAATAACAACATGTTATAGCATATGTTGGTGGTGGTGGTTACGTGCTGAGGAGTTGGTTCCAACTCAAAGCAATCTGGTACAGGGCTTTCGAGGCTGTAAATCTTTACAAGAGCAGAAAGCCTCATCTTTCTCCTGCAGACCAGCTGGTAGTTTCAAACTGCTGACCTTGAGGTTAGCAGCCAGACTTGTGACCACTACACTACCAGAGCTCCTTGTTATAACATATATCAGTACTTTTTTTCCTTTTGGTTGCCAAATAGTATTCTATTTTACAGATTTACTGTATTTTGTTTATCCATTCATCAGTTGATAGATATTCAGGGTTATTTTTACTTTGGACTACTATGAATAAATAATGCTGCTATAGAGATTCATATACAAGACTTGCAGACATATTTTCATTTCTTTGGATAGCTATCTAGGAGTCGAGTTGTTGGGAGATAAGTTAAAAGGTAAGTCTACCCTTAATATTTTGAGAAATTACCAAACTCTTTTCCAATGTAGCTGCAACATTTTACATTCCCACTAGCAATGTAATAAGGTTCAAAGTTTACCACATCCTCTCTTTCATGACATCCTTACCACATGGCCAACTCTAGTTATTGTCTGTCTTATTAGTTATAGCCATTTTTATGAATGTGAGGTAATACCTCATATGGCTTTGGTTTGCTTTTCCCTACTGACTAATGATGTTGAACATCTTTTCATGTGTTTATTGGCCCTTTGTATATCCTTTGAGGAAATGTTTATTCAAGCATTTTGCCATTGTTTAGTTTGGTTAATTGTCTTCTTG